TACAGGCACCAGGCTAGACACCATGCCTGTCCTCTTAATGCTTATAGTCTGCTTCATGAGGAAAATAGAGGAGAGTAGAATTCTCTTGCTTCCAGCAAGTAAATTTGTTGAAGGTATACCTCCAAAGTTTTACGGCAATATCATCTGACCAGGAAGCCAGGGAACCATCGAGACATGGGAGGAGCATACACCTAAAATAAGAACAGAAAAATGCCAAAGTTCAGTGACGGCATATATCAGTTGACAACATGCTTTTTCAGGATCATGTTGAAAAAAGGATGCTAATAATCGCAGCAGGAAGATTTCATGTGAACACTATCACCAGCTATGTGTGATTGTTAAATCATTCATTTGATAACATTTGAGCACTCACCATATGTTATGTACTGTATAGTCATAGGCACTGGAATTCATTGGAGGATGAGATGGACCCCAAGGGACAAGGGATTGATGTTTCACAGTTGGTGTCAACGTTCATCTATATATGAATGGAGAGAGAAATGTGACAATCTGAGAGATACTATGAATAAGGTATTCAATTTAAAGATGATTAGAGTATTGATTTATTGGACAATCCGAAATTATACCTTGAATAAAGAGAGAAGGAAGTTGTTAAAATTTCTGTCTTTATCCATGGAGAAGGTAAACAATTATTTGTTATATTATAGACTGTATTTATGCCTGAAATATTTACTAGTAATAAAATAATCTTTCGAGAGAGAAAAGAGAGTTATAAAGACCATCCCCACTTTGGGGGGTAGGACTCGATAATTTAACAACTATATTAAGCCTGTTTAATGCATTGGAATAGTCTATGAAAAGGCATCTTCAGTTGGTTTTTCTGGATGAACTATAGTAATAGTTGTTTGTTCCTACCTTGTTTCCAGTGCAGTGCAAACTGGATTTCAGTTATTTGTCAAGAATCTACCTACTGGACTAGATTGTGAGAAATGGCACACATTGTTTGACAGCTGAGTGATGGAGGCTACCCACGAGAAGTGAATTACATTTGAAATGAGAAGCTGAGGAGAAGGGTATACAAGCAAAGCCAAAGGGAGCAGGGCTCCAGCTTTAGCTTTTATTACTCATGGATCATGAGATGGCTTTAGCGAATGCTAAGAGTTGGCCTCGTGTTGGACAGCCTAGGGGACTGTGGGTCCAGCAGTCAAATGACTTGAAAGACTTTAAAAACTCTCCAGCTGCCAATCGCAGCCCCTTGCCTACTGCCCTTTGCTGCCTACCTGGCTGTTTTCCTTCACGTTAAATCGTGTTAGGACCTGGCTTTTCCCAGAGAGGGGAGACGCGTTATTAGTAACACCATAGTTTGGATTTCTTTGTTTTGACCTGAGTTTGTGAGAGAAACAAGAAAGTTCAGCACAAAGTGCTGAAGTGAGAGAAGAAAAGACTGGAGAAATCCCAGGTGAGGAAGCAGCTTCTCTCTTCCACATATTGTTTTCCCTAGGGGCCCCCTTGTTAACCAGATTTACTGCTAAATCTCAACAGAGATTCTAAAACCTTTCTGAACTAACGAAAGCGACAGTGCAGGAGTCATAATGATCCATCACAACAACTCTTGTCCTATCCAAGTCATGCTAGTGGCTGCTATCTTGAAAGGTCAGGTTCACACCAGTGTTTCCTAAGGCTGCAGGGCCCCCAAGATCCTTGCACAATAGCATTTCAATGTAAGAACAGCTCAGTACTAGAGTGCCATTTTTGTGAAAATGAAGCACTTTTGTCTTTGTTCCACACAAAATGCTTTTCTCTCTCTCTCTCTCTCTCTGTCTGAACTTGGCTCTGACCGGTAGAGTCCTTTGCATTTCTATTAGGTAAAGACAGGTGAAAGCAGGAATGGTGGTTATCCAGGGCTGAAGTTAAACCTTACAGAGCTCTCTCTCCTTGGCTGTCCCTCCTCCCCCACAGTTTCTATCAGTAGACTTCCAAGGAAGCTTTCCTTTAGCCAGCTGTTTGCTCCTACTTTACGCGACAGTTCTCAGTGTTCAGCAGCAACAAAGATCACTAATATTCCCGTTGGGTTTATCAGAAGCAACTGAGAACAATGAGCTCTTTCTATGTTGAAAAGAGAGATATAAAAATTATTCATAATGCTTACTTCTTCTCCCAACACATTCTCATCCCCATGGGCTCCTTTCACTAATTAGCTGTGCAAGTCTTCACACTAAAATTTAGCTACATATTATTGGTAGGATATCTTGATCTTTCTCCCTATACAAACGCAGTATATGCTTATATTTAAATACATTTGTCTATGTTTCCAAAATGAATATATAAAAATAAAAGCTTATGAAAACATTACGTCTGATTCCATTGCTGAGATAAAAGTGCATTTCTAATTTGTCTACTCAGAATCATTGGGCCACTCTTGAAAATAAGTTCCTAGATAAGTCCAATTAATACAAAATATAAAGTTAAGATTAACATTTATGAAGCTCCTACTATGTATCAGGTGGTATGCTATGGATTTTACATTCATTAGCTTCATTTAATCTTCATAACACTGTGGAGCTATAAATTATTATCTACATCCTACAGATAAAGAAACTGAGATTTGAAGAGGACACACAGAATCCAAGTCTGCCTGACTTCAAAGCCCGAGCTTTCTATTAAACTATATGAATATCTGAGTCAAAAGAAATCTTGGGGATTATCTAGAACAGTGGTTTTCCAAAATGCACGAAGGTTATCAAAGGGGGTAGTACACGGAGACATTACATTTAAAATGCAATAAATGCCATAGTGAAGAAGTTCATTTCTTTTCAGTGCTCTTGACATCCTTCTGATAACTCAGTTCTGTTACACGTCTCTAACACTTATCTTTTCTGTCATAGAAAGAGCAGGTCTCAGAATCACACATTTTAAAGACAATACCTAGCTAAGATATGTCTACATTTATTTTCATTGTAATTATTTTTATAGCTACTTTCTAGCAATGGCAAATGATGCTGATTTTTCCTCTTCATAGTCATGTAAATGTTTATTTTGAAAATAAATGTATTTAGATTTTTTTAAAGTGAGCTTAAAGAAAAATGGTTATAAATAATAGTTTAGTAGTATACACATGTGGTAAAAATCATGAAGATGCCATAGGAAATCTAGATTTTGGGGGTATGATTTGGAGAGCCTAGGCTGAAACTCACATGATACAATTGAAGAAACGGGGGCCTAGAGAGATGTAGATAAGTGTCTAGGACACACAAGTTTCCTGAATTGCTGAAAAACGATCATTTACTTTTTAAAACATACAATTATCTCCTCACGAGCAGGTCAGTTTCCACTGTTGTTCTCCTGGTTTTTCCTGGTGGGGCATCAGACATCTTTTGAGTAGCAAATACAGATTGGAATTAAGGAAACAAGAAATCTGTTTCCTTCCAGAGCAGTCACATAGTTCCAGTTATCTTTTGTGCTGAATGGTGCTAAATTGAAGTGGGTGGTATTTTAGATTAGCTTGACAAACTGGGTATTCAGATTAAATCAGAAGTAGATATTTGGCATTTGTTTTTTTAAAATTTACATTAATTTATTTAGATATTTCAATGTATAGCTGTCAGCAAATTCAAATATAAGCTGTAGCTGTTACAATAAAAAGGCTGTTTGCTGGTAGGAGAGCAGATAAACTCCCTAAAAAATTTAACAAGTGAAACAGTTTTCCAACATTACCTCTCGAAAGCATAATTATCAGAACAACCTCTTTGGAGGTCTTTGATGTAACTCTCCAAGTGTACGTCTGGCAATTTATTGCTTTCAGTAGCTAGAGGTGATAACGTGGACTGCTTCCAATATAATATGCCTGCATTTCCATTCAGTTACTGGGGACCTACAAGATACGCCAGTATTCTGCTCTATTCTAATGGACAGAGTGTCACTTCTTACCAGATAGACTTCCTGAGGCTGCTATTTAGGACTGGCAGATGTAGCATCTTTGTTTACAACACTTAAAATACTTCAACCTGGCATATATGAGCTCAACAGTGAATTTCATAAAATGAGAGATTTTTTTGTTGTTCTTAGAACTGGGGTCCCCGAGTACAGGACTTCTGGAAAATAAATGGCTTTAACTTGTTATTTATTTTGTCCTTATTAAAAGGCAATAATACAGATCTGCAGAGATGCCACAAAAATTCACCAGCCTACCAATATCAGCAATAACTGATATGCTGGTTAGGAAAAGAATGGGGCAACCCTGGGAAAAATACACATCTTTCATTAGTCTTTCGTTACATTCTCAGCATCTACTTCCAGAGTTTCAACTACTACCTTTCTGCATCTGAATCCCAATCTCTTTCAGCTCCTTCCCATTTCGTCTCTTCGCCCCATGAGATGGTGATGTATAGTGAGAGGCACTGTGGTGTGTGGGCTCTGGGGTTAGTTTACCTGAGTTCGAATCCTGGCTCTACCACTTTCCTGGTTAAAGCATTTCTTTACCACTCTGTGCCTCACTTTCCTTACCTGCAATAGGATGATGCTATCTATCCCCTATGGTAACTGTAAGAATTTGATACAACTAAGTAAATTGTATTAGAGAGTGATAAATGCTATAGGAAAAAAATAGAGTTGGGTAAGGGGATTGAGAAGGTAGGCTGAGGGTGAGATTTAATATATATTTTTAATACAATATTCCTAAAATAAAACTCATTTTTCTAGGAAAATTAGATTCCCTTCTAGATTTCCATTTACTGATAATCATTTTCTTTGTCACCCAGGTTAAAAACTCAGTCACCTTAGTTTCTTCTCTATTTTCCCCATAACCTGCCATTAAATCCCATGTATTTTTCTTTTGCAACGTCTCGAGTCTACCCTGATTTGAGCACTTAGGCCTGCATTAATGTCATAGCCTAACTAGTATCTGCTTCTAGTCTCTCCCTGCTCCAATCCATCCTGCGCTTACTTCACTTGCAAAGCAATCCCCATAACAGGGCTTACCCATGTGTCTTCCTCTGATGCCTACGGAATGAAGGTCAAACTTGTTTAGGGATGTTCATAATCTGGCTTCAATCTGTCTCTCCAGCGCTCTCCTAGTTTCTCCTAAATATAACTTTCCATTTCAGCCAGAATAATTGACTTCTGTGAATTCCCCCTCTGCGCCTATACAATGTATCACGTTCTTTTCTAACACTCTGTTGCTAGTTTTCTCTTCCTCTTCGTAGAAGTGTCAGAAATTTCATTAAACTTAAAATTCCACATGGAATTTTGCATAATAACCTGAATTATGAAAGAATCCCAGGTGAGACATCCTCATGAGGGAAATGGTGTGGACCTGATCTCAGCAAGGTGGAAATGCTGATGGTAGGACTCATGGTTTCTGGAGAATCCACAAATAACTAAAGTTGTTTTGACACCTTTACTCAACTTACTTAAGGACAGAATACCAGCTATTCAGTTTGCTGCCAAAAAGTGCAAACAAGATTTACTTTTTCTAGACTGCCTGTCTTCTTTTCTCTCCTTGCTTAGAAATCTTGTTCTCACCTTTGTTCTTCGTTCTTTCTCAGCCAAGGATTCCCTTTCATGAGAGCAAATAATTTGTGTAAAACTAACTTAATACTTGTTTTTTGAAATAGGAAACTTTTGTTTACGTTTAAAAATATATTGTTAATGACTCAAGTGATTAAGAAGTCTTTAGAAAAGCAAATCCATTTTCTATGTAAAAAAAAATCCAACTGTTCATTTAATGGGGTTTGTGTAAAAATACCCTTGCCACTGGTGAATATCAAAGCACTTTTATATTAATCCATTTTCTTCTGTGAGGTCCTAATCCACAGCAGGCTACCATCTTGATTTCTCAGCAATACGTCCATTTGAGACTTTTCAAGCTGCCTGCATGTAAATGACTCAACCCATTTCTATTACTTCATATGGGTTTTAATACTAGCGAGCTACACATTTCTGTCACATAAAATGCAGACTTTCCCAAAGACTTATATATAATGTAAATGGTAACCTTCAATTGTGTCAGTCTTCAAAACTACAGGATCACGTACCTCAAAAATAATAAATCTATTATTTCAGAACTGTCACCAGCCAAAATTATTTTTATTCTTTCATATTTCAGGTTTCCCAAGGGGCTGGCTGGTCTCTGGGCTACTTTCAGTGAATCCCTGAGTAGACTTACTACCTCTTCACCACTGTGGGGCAAGACAGCCCATCAAGTCTTCTTCAAAAAACACAGCCTGGGCCAGCCCAGGTGGCCTAGTGGTTAAAGTCGGTGCACTTTGCTTCGCCAGCCCGGGTTTGGTTCTCAGGTGTGGACCTACACCTCTCGTGTGTCAGTGGCCATACTGTGGCAGTAACCCACACACAACAGAGAGGAAGACTGGCAGTGGATGTTAACTCAGGGCAAATCTTCCTCAGCAAAACAAAACAAACAGCCTGTTTCATCCTCCCAATTTGCTTAGCTCTTGCTTACTATCCTCTGTAGACTGACTACAACAGGCACTTCACAAATATTTGTTTCTGTATTGGTTTGATAGAGTTGCCATAACAAAGTACTATAGACTGTGTGGCTTCCACATTTATTTTCTCACAGTTCTGAAGGCTAGACATCCAAGATCAAGGTGTTGGGAGGCTCGTTTTCTTCTGAAACCTCTTTGCTTGGCTTGTAGATTGCCGCCACCTCGATGTGTCCTCACATGGTCTTTCAGCTGTGCATGCACACCCCTGGTGTCTCCCTGTGTCCTAGTGTCCTCTTCTTATAAAGCTAGCAGTCAGTTTGCATTAGGACTCACCCTAATGGCCTCATTTTATCACTCCTCCAAATATAGTCAAATTTAAAGTAGCGCGGGATAGGGCTTCAACATATGAATCTGGGGGAAACACAATTCAGCACGTAAGTTTCTTAACAAAGAGATTCAAACTGTTACTTATGGTGTCTTAAAAGATTTTGGCTCTATCTTGGGGACAGTATTAAAGTAGTGTCAACAGTAAAGGAAACTTACGTACGTCACGTGGAGAGGAAGGGGGAACACGCAGGGTTCACCTGAAAACCAGACCTTTGATCATGGGCACCTAGTTTGCCCTACTAGCCCAGTTCTATGCATAATTCTTCAACAGCCCTGTGCTCCGCGCCCAATGGAATTGTTGTGTGTGTGTATGGTGTTTGCACGTGTGTGTACAAACACACATTTGATGTATATTAGGTATTTGGCAAAGCATTTTACACACACTAAATCTGATCTAATCCTCAAAAGTCTGTGAGGGAGGATTTTCCCCATTTCTCAGATAAGGAAACTAGATCTCAGAGGTAACTTGCCCAAAGTCACTGCGCCAGAATAGGAAACCAGGTAAGTCTGTCTCCAAAGCACAGCCCAAGATTGTGGTCTCCTGGCTCCTGTCCTGTTCTCAGGTGAGACTCCTGCTGTGTAGGGTCCTTCATCAAGCTATGGCTCAGCACCTGTCAACTCAGCAGTCTGGTGCGCCTCTGCCATGATCCCAAAAGCACAGGCAACAACAGAAAAAATAAATTAGACTTCATCAAAATTTTAAAAATTTGTACAGCAAAGAACACTATCAAGAAAGTGAGGGGCCGGCCCCGTGGCTTAGCGGTTAAGTGCGTGCGCTCTGCTGCTGGCGGCCCGGGTTCGGATCCCGGGCGCGCACCAACCCACTGCTTCTCCCGCCATGCTGAGGCCAAGTCCCACATACAGCAACTAGAAGGATGTGCAACTATGACATACAACTATCTACTGGGGCTTTGGGGGAAAAAAATAAATAAATAAAATTATTTAAAAAAAAAAGAAAGAAAGTGAAAAAGCGACCCACAGAATTAAGAGAAAATATTTGCAAATCATATATATCTGATAAGCGATTAATATCCAGAATATATAAAGAACTCCTACAACTCAACAACAAAATAATTAAAAATTGGGCAAAAGGCTTAAATACATGTCTCCAAAGATACACAAATGGCCAATAAGTACAAGAAAAGATGCTCGACATCACTTATATCAGTATGAAAATGCAAATTAAAATCACAATTGGATACCACTTCACACCTATTAAGATGGTTATTACTTAAACAAAAACAGAAATTAAGCACTGGCAAGGGTGTGGAGAAACTGGAATCCTTGTGCCTTGCTGGTGGGAGTATAAAATGGTGCAGCCACAATGGAAAACAGTATGGCAGTTCCTCCAAAAATTAAATATAGAATTACCATGTGTTCCAGCAATTCCATTCTGGGTATACACCAAAAATAATTGAAAGCAGGGACTTGAACAGATACTTGTACACCAATATTCATAGCAGCATATTCACAATAGCCAAAAGGTAGAAACAACTTAAACGTCCATCAGTGGATGAATGGATAAACAAACTGCAGTAAATACTTAAAATGAAATACTATTCAGACTTAAAAAAGAATAAAATTCTGACACATGGTACAATATGGATAAATCTTGAAGACATCATGCTAAATGAAATAAGACACAAAAAAACAAATATTCCACTTATATGAGGTACCTAGAATGGTCAAATTCATGGAGACTAAAACTAGAAAAATGTTTACCATTTTTCTGGGGCTGGGGGAAGGGGAGAATGGGTCAAGTTTCTGTTTGGATGATGAAAAAGTTCTGGATAGTAATGACAGATGCACAGCAATGCGAATGTTCTTAACGTCACTGAACTGTACAACTTAAAAATGGTTAAAATGGTAAATTTTATGTTGTGTATATTTTACTACAATAAAAAATATGGCTACTGTGAGAAATTGAATTTTTAACTAATTTAAAGTTTAAAAACTGATATTTGACTCAGTTATTGGAAAACTTTTAAGCATGTCTGGAACATGTATGTAAATTTCATAAAGTCCCACAATGTAAAGAAACTCTTACTCGAAGTATAGAAAAATATAATCTCACGTGTATCTGAATTGCCAACTTTGTTTTCAAGCCTGGGGCAATGTTGATATAACTATCTCCTTTTACCATCTGGGAAAAAGTATTCCATTTTACACCTCAAGCCTAATTTTACACTGTAAATTCTATAGCCTACCTTTAAACAGTCTTCAATCATACATAAGCATCTAAACATTTACAGAATAACTATAGAAACATAAGTTGAATTCACAGCAGCACATATTAAATCAAAAGTACATGCCAATATCACCAAAATGGTTTTATTTGTCATTGACAACATGCACAACACTGCAATTTTATCACTACTTTGTTTGCTTTAAGTATTACTTAAGTATGCATTAAAAATATAGGTTTACATTTCAGAAATCTAACACATTAAAGAAGTCCTCTGTAAACATAACTCCTCAATATATTTTCCTGCTTTGTTTCATACATAAATAACTTAATCTACAAAGTCATAAATAAAACTATTAACTCTTATGGCCTAAAAGTAAATACAAACTTTGGAGCGTGTCAAAAGTGTTCTCTTTACAATTTTATAAATAACAATATGCAGTTTTTTCAGTGTTTATTATCAAACAAATAACTTACCATAAGTTGCTACTGTCTCCCAACCAATTCTGCCAATAATAAACCTTCCAGTGCCCTTGCCATGCATTTAAAAGTCAAAATAGTCAAAAGACTAGATTTTTAAAAACAGCAGTACAGAAGGTTGCCATTTCACCATTACTAAGCCTTAAAACCACTTTAGTTTGTGTGCTAACAGAAAATGCTGCTAAAGAGTGAATGCTTGTACTATCATTTAAATGGAAGCTAACAAATTCTAAAATTTCTTAAGAAACAAAACCAGATTAAATCGGTATTAGTGTTGGAAAAAATATTCCATTGAGAGTGTGTTACAGGAATAGAATCAATACTATCCTAAATTTTCTAAAATTTATTTTGAATCATTACTTTAGTTAGTTAAAACTTTCAGGGTAAAAATAATGACACACAAAAATTATCTCAGAAAGGTATAGTTATAATTCCTGATACAGAACACTTGATTATTTTTGTTTAATGACTGGAAATCTTTATTACTTTAGAAAATATTAATAAACTTGTTGAAAGACACCTCCTATTCAGTGATTTATTAGATAAGCACTCAAGATGTGTTAGGTAAGCACTCAAATTATTTTTATGTAATAAAAGTAAAAAAGGAATTTTGCATGTTGGAAATATTTCATTTTATGTATTTTTTTTAGGCCATCATTCACAGAGTATAAAACTTAGAAAGAAAAATATTGTCAATTAATATTCTCATTAAATTTAAATGATTCAAATGATAAATACTAAGCTAATAAGCACTGTCATTACTTTTAAAATCTAAATTTCTTAAAGTTTTATTTTTCAATCAATACAAAAATGATCTGGTTCACCCTATTAACTGCCAGTCAAACTTTGTGTTTAAAAAACTAAATATTCTTTGTTAAGAGCAGATTACAACAAAAGTTTTCTGTACTCTTACAAAAAACAAGATTCTGATATAATGAATCTAAACCAAAATTCACAAATGGTGGCTGAAGTTCTGTCAACTTTCAGCCCAAAACAAAATAAATCCAGTTATTATGCATAAACAATTCAAAATTAAAGTTTATAATGGAGATGTCAACAAGTCATAACTACCGCATTACTACTGATGGGTTCCACTATACTTCAACCAGGCACAGCAGATGTGCAGAACTGATGGACAGGCTGCTTAGAAAATTAAAGCTATCAGAGCTCTAAGGAAGGAATACATAAATACGAACAGAGCAATGCCAAAGCATTAGAGCTGTTAAAAAAAAGATGTGACATACACACATCTGATGGTTCTCTCTGTAAGCCACTTTCCACTGATTTATAAAGCTATGGTTTTATAATTCTTTTACAAAGGAAAATGTTTCTACACTGCTGCATGCAGTAGTTTCACTGTACATTCTTGACTATAATGCAATCTTCAAATCTTCTTGCAGAGCTTGACATATCTCATCAGGATTTCTCCAGAAAGTCAGGTTGTCATATTTTCAGCAGCCTAGAACAAGAAAAGTGACATTCATTAAAGAAAACCATGGAAATACCCCATGGAGATAAATTTGTCAATACTGCACTGTCACTAACAAACTCCTCCCCGGCATTACACCCAACCGCTTTCATCAGGAAAATGCAGTGGTTTTCACTTTTTCCAGTACATTAGAACTACCTTTTGAACTGATTGCTAGACTAACAGATTATTCTATCATCTTAAATAACACAGTTAACGTAAAAATATAACGCTACTTGAAAAATTAACCGATAGCAGACCTTATCCACACAGTCTTTATTAGTTGGCCTGTTTCTGCATGTTTCACTATAGTGTGAAAAAGGGATTAAGAATGAAAAAGATCTTTCTGTTGTGCTATAATGTGGAGAAAAAAGGGCAAAAGAATACTGAACACATGGCTAATCCTGCTTCACCTACACCACCAACCATTACACTTTCTCTAATTATTCTGCAGAAATTCCCAGACATCATACCATACATCATAAGTGATTTGATATATATTTCTAAGACAAAGATTTGAACAAGTAATTTCTTAATGCCAAATATGAAAATAATGATTTTATTTTTTTTTTTTTATAATTTTATTTATTTTTTTCCCCCAAAGGCCCAGTAGATAGTTGTATGTCATAGTTGCACATCCTTCTAGTTGCTGTATATGGGACGTGGCCTCAGCATGGCCAGAGAAGCGGTGCGTCGGTGCACACCCGGGATCCGAACCCGGGCCGCCAGCAGCAGAGCTCGTGCACTTAACCGCTAAGCCACGGGGCCGGCCCTAATGATTTTAAATAAGTTTAATTTGGTCAACTTTTAATTCATTTACATTTCAACTTTCTAATTAAAACCTGCTTTTAAGTTTAATCTAAGTTCAGAGATCTTTCATAAAAATCACTAATGATACTGAGAAAACCACGGATAACTCAATCTGAAACATTCTCTTTGCAGTCAACAGAACCTAGCTTGTTTTTCCATATAGTTGGCTATTCTAATTAGCCTTTCTCTTCTTTGGGTTTACTAGTCACAAGAATTAGAAACTAGTTTGAAAACAATTTCCCTTGTTCTAAGAGGTTTCTTACCTCTTTCTACCCTTATAGGTTCTTAGATCAGCTTTGGCCACCTACCCTTTCCACACTCTGTCTTCTTCCTAACCCCATTCTCAGAATCATCTACTTCAAAGAAGACTTGAAATAATATACACAATTTTAGAATTTTTTAAAAATTAAAATACCTTACTCTAATGCAATTTAATTTGTCTTGTCTCATTCCATTTTCATACTAATTTTAAAGGTTCTCCTCCCAGATACAGAAAATGAAACAAGTATTTTCCTTTAAACTAAGTCAGCCATCAAACTTGTGTAGCTTTCATGTTACACGAATGCAGAACTACTTTTTGAAAGGACAGCAATGGCATCCTAAAGAACTATATAGTTACCAAATTGCCATTAAAGATTCCAAAAATTTATAAGCATTGGCCCTGGGAAAAACCAACTTTAGTAGTCTTCTCTTCCAAACCTTCCTTTTCTGCGCAAGTTTATTCCCTCCTCTGGGAGAATGAGTGGGGACATGGGACTTATTTAATCCCTCATTTCTCTCCCAACTCCAAATTCTACACCTTCAATGTCTTCCTGCTGCAGGAGACCTTCCAACACAGTGAGGAGATACATCACTCACCCTAAGATGTCAGCGATAGTACAGGACAGCTGCAAGAAAGGTCAAGGCTCAGTGCACAGGAATGCAATCAGAGTATAATTCACAGAACCCTGGCACGAAAGCAGAAGATACAGGAAAGTACACTTGGCCTAGGATTTCTGAAATCACAATATGTAAATAACTGCTTACACATAAATACTAGCACTGCGGAGACAATACAAAAATTCAGTGTTGATGAAAGAAACAGTCACACAAATAAATTCTATTTTTTTAAAAATGCACCTAATTAACAGTCTTATTTATGCTGTAGGAGAGACATATAAGGCGACTTATCCATTGCCGTTAAGAAACTTATCTAATTGGGCAAACACAACTAGCTACTTTTACTATAAATGACTTAGGCAATAAGAATACACAAAAAAGACAGGCAAAATAATTCACAAAAAAATTGTTACAATTTTCTACATAACTAAAGAACAAAAGAAAAAACTAGATGTTTCAGACCAACAGTTCCTTGCAACATTTCATGATGTCCTTGACTTACATTTTACACATTCTAAAGCAGAGATAAGCACCATATAATTTAATTCTAATTACTAGGATTTCTAGGTAAAGATAGTAGAATGAAGCAGGAACAGTTTCTCCTTACTCTATTTTTAGTACCAAAAGCAATAAACAAAAAATGAGAAAAATTCATTAACAGTAACCACACAAAAAAGGGAGAACTACCTTATGCTTATAAAATCTGTAAAGGGGCAGGCAAAGAAAGGCAGCTGTGGCTCAGCGCAGTTCTGAACCAACCAGCTCCCAACCCCGACCCAACATAGCAGTTAAGAGAGAAAAGACTAATCTGGAGAGAAGCAACTGAGGAAGGTTATTCTTTTTTAATTCAATGAAATTAAGTATAATATTTTTATTTTTAAAGTAGCATGATACTATCTAGAATGATGTTCACCAAATATTATCACCAGTTATCTCTTGGGTGATCTTGAATAATCTGTTTCCTTCTTTATATTTTCTGATTTAAATATTTTAAAATTATGAGTATACATTTTTTTAAATAAATGTTATACAGATTTCCAAAATTACTTTAAAGAGAACAAGAAAAATTTCTAATTAACATTTTTCTTCTTTGCTAGGAACTTTTCAGGATCTCCTCCCTGCCTAGCTTTTTTGTTCTGTTTTGTTTTTTTGCTAAGGAAGATTCACCCTGAGCTAACATCTGTGCCAATCTTCCTCTATTTTGTATGTCGCTGCCACAGCATAGTCGCTGCCGAGTGGTGTAGGTCCATGCCCGGAAACCGAACTGGGGTTGCCGAAGCAGAGTGCACTGAACTTAACCACTAAGTCAAGGAATCAGCCCCCTCCCTGCCTAGTTTTAATGAGATACTGGTATACTGGTTTTAGATTATGGGAGAAATGCATTTTAAGAGGCTCCATGTGTGTATGTGAGACCGATCTTCCATTCAAAGGGGCAACACTTTCTGATTTTGTTCATCTTGATTTTGCCTCCTATATCTCACTATGGTTCACCAGATGTGGAATAACCAGTATACGCAAAGCTGACAAAGCTATGTTAAAATAGGTCATTCTGACTCTCCTATCCTAATACCTTGGGTTTTATTTCATCTAAGAAAATGCTACGCCAAAACACTTCTGTCAGTTTCTCTTCTGTCAGTTAACCTTGCTTCAGCTAGGTTATTTACCTCTGGTTCCCTTATAGCACTCAAACTGCATTACAATACAAAAATCTCTTCCTATTTTACCTCCCTATTCTCTTTCAAACTCCAGCATAAAGAACAAAAATTCTTGCAGTTGTGGAAGATGTGCATTAAATAAATCCTCTTCTATTAGAATTTTGGAAATTTATTGATGAAAGACTATACGCTACTTCTTATTTTTATCAACAGGGTTATGACAGAACACTAAGCCAGGGAATGTTCCCATGCTACAGTCCATTGACTGTTTCACTTCTAATCACCAACTGATCTTTCTTAAATGGCAGACTCAGATATTTTTTAGAACTTACTGTAAGTGGAAACTGGGTAGTTAACAACTCTGAAGTCAGACAGTACAACATCAAATCCTAGCTCAACTACTTATCTCTAAGTCTTTGGGAGAAGTCAGCCACCATAAGCTTCAGTTTTCTTAGCGGTCAACTAACAGTAGTATAGTACACATCATTGCTGTGACTAGAGAGGAAATAACGCAAGGAAAGCCTTTGGTGCACAGAGTTCGGCAAAAGGAAAGTACTCATAAATATCAGCTATTCTTATATTATTCGGTTATTTTTCTTTCTGTCATATGAAAGCAGTAATTGTGAGTTAAAGAAATAGGAAATCTGAATAGTTTTTATGATTATTTTAAAAACCTGATTTAAAAAACTGGAAATCTTACATGTACATCTGACAAAGGTTCACACCCAGAATCTCTAAAGACTACCAATAAAAAAGAAAAGGACAACCCAGAAAAACAGGCAAGCTACCTAAAAAGATATCTCACAAAACAAAATTGCCCAAAACATGTGAAAAGGCATTCAACCTTATTGGTACTCAAAGAAACGCAAATAAAACCACATAAGAAACCCACACACACTCAACAGAATGACTAAAATTAAAAAGACTCACAATAACAAGTATCGGCAAAGATGTGGAGCAAGGGAAACTCATATGCTGCTGGTGGGACTATAAATACAACTACTTTAAAAAGTTTGGCATTATCTATTCAAGTTGAAGAAACACATAACCTAAGATCCAGCAATTTTACTTCTAGATACACACTCAAGAGAAATGCATGCATACATGCATCAATAGACATGGACAACTATGCTTCCACACTGGAAGCAACCTAACAGCATCTGCAGTAGACGGAATAAGCTGTAGTACATTTGTACAATGAAACATGATTATTACAGTGAAAAGGAATGCATTACAGCTACACACAACATAAATGAACCTTGTAAACATAATGTTAAACTAAAGAACCCATAAAAAAAAGACTGCTGTAAGATTCCATTTATATCAAGTTCAAAAATCTTACAAAATTAAAATGCAGTGTTGAGAGATCCATGCTTAATCAGTAAAACTGTTAAAAGTACGAAAGTATCTCCATAAAAGTCAAGACAGCAGTTAGAGAGGAGGAGAGCAGGAGGGAGAGGTTAGTAATAGGGGGAGCGCAAGGAAACTTTTAGGGTGCTGGCAATGAGAACTGTATGAATATTCTCTTCATGATAAATTTTTGCTCTGTAAATGTGCTTTGTTTACCTTTTTGCGTATTTTTTTTTTGTGAGGATTGGGCCTGAGCTAACATCTGTTGCCAATCTTCCTCTCTTTTTCCTTCGCTTGAGGAAGATTGTCGTTGAGCTAACATCTGTGCCAATCTTCCTCTATTTTGTATGTGGTATGCTGCCACAGCATGGCTTGATGAGCACTGTGCAGGTCCACACGTGGGATCCCAACCTGTGAACCCCAGGCCACCGAAGCAGAGCACGCAAACTTAACCACTACACCACTGGGCCAGCCCCTGCATAAGATTTATTAATTAAAAAGTTTTAAAAAGCACAAAACCAATGATCCAAATCAGAACTTACTGGAGTGTCACTTAATCTGAGATGGGTAAGCTACATGTTTTATAATAGTCCTATTTCCTCAAAGAAAAAAGACTAGAGGGAAGCCACTTTGTCCTTGGACAAGTTTTAAGAGGGACTAAACTTGAAGTTTCAGCATTCATGGTGAGTTAGTACTATATAAACACGGAAATAAAATCACCTGATTTTTTTTTTTTTAATTTTTATTTATTTTTTTCCCCCAAAGCCTCAGTAGATAGTTGTATGTCATAGTTGCACATCCTTCTAGTTGCTGTATGTGGGACGCGGCCTCAGCATGGCCAGAGAAGCGGTGCGTCGGTGCACGCCTGGGATCCGAACCCGGGCCGCCAGCAGTGGAGCGCACGCACTTAACCACTAAGCCACGGGGCCGGCCCTAAAATCACCTGATATTTTAAACTAGCGTGTGAAAGCAGGAGAAGGAACACAACACTTTTCCTGTTCCCAATCTCAGCAATTAAAAGGTAGTGAATTTGAATCTGAAACATGGCAGTCCTCTGGGCCCATGTTGGCAGCGCTACTTAATTGGCCTCAGCAGTTCCCTGGTGTCTAAATCATTCTTCCCTTTTCTTGAAGGATAAATACATGTTCACAGCCGGGTAGCTCTATCAGCCTCATTTCCTGCCTAGAGAAACTCAGAAGTCTGACAGCCTTCCTTCATTTTGTCCCGTACTGGGCCCTTTCAGTCCAACCCAGCCATGTTTTGTGCTGAGATGGATGACTGGATCTATGAGTCACACCTCTAAGCTCTTCAGCAAAAGCTGGCCCAGAACCACTCTTGGCCTTCTCTCCAGAGCATACTATCTGGATAGGCTGAGAATTTTCCAAAGCAAGCACTGGTTCCTTCTTGCTTACCAGTTCCATCCTCAATTTCTCATTCCTCTTACATTTTACTATAAGCAAGCAAGAAGAAATCAGTCTGCACTTTCCATACTTTGGAAATTTCCTCAGCTAAATATCCAAGTTCATTGCTTGCAAGTTGTATTTTCCTTCCAACAGCAGAGTAAAGTTCAGCCAAGTGCTCTGTCACTTTATAGCAAGGATAGCTTTTCCTCCAGTGTCCAATAACATGTTCCCCATTTCCATCTTGAGACCTCACCAGAAGCACCTTTAATGTTCATAATTCTAGCAAGATTGTGTTCATAGTGATATATGTATTTGCTAAGATGACTGAGGCTTTCTCTACAGCTCTTCTCTCTTCTTTCTGAGCACTCACCAGCATCACCTTTAATGGCCACAGTTCTAACAACAGTCTCTTCAAGGCCATCTAGGCTGTTTCTATCAAGTGCCTTAAAAACTTTCCAATCTCCACCCATTACCCAATTCCAAAGCCACTTCTAGTTTTAGGTATTTCTTACAGCAGCACTCCACTTCCCAGTAGTAAATCTGTATTAGATTTCTAGGGCTGCCACAACAAAGTACCACAAACTGGGTGGCTTAAAACAACTATTCTCTCACAGTTCTGGAGGCAGAAATCCAAAAACTAGGCGTCAGCAGGGCCATCCTCTCTCTGAAGGCTCTAACAGAGGACCCTTCCTTTCCTCTTCCTAGCTTCTGGTGCCTGCCGAGAATCCTTGGCTGCCTTTGGCTTGTAAACGGCATCACTCCAATCTCTGCCTTTGTCTTCACATGGCACTCTCCCCTCTGTGTCTGTCTTCATATGGTGCTCTCTTTGTGTATCTGTGTCTAAATTTCCCTTGTCTTATAAGGACATCAGTCATTAATCCATTATGATCTCATCTTAATTTGATTACACCTGCAGATACACTATTGCCAAATAAGCTCACATTCACTGGTACCAGACTTGAGCACGTCTTTTTTGGGACAGACACAATTTTACCCACAACACAAAGAAAATTCCAAACACAGTTGGAGACTTCTGGGAAAAGACAACATGGTCCATGAGAGCAGCAATTTTTGTGATCTGAACATCGGCTACTAAGCTCCTGGTCTTCAGAATTTCTCCTGATGGTGACAGAAGCTAGTTTAATCACGTTTAGGATCTTGCAGACAACTTCATCATTAATCATTTTCTAAATAAAAGCATCTTTATTTAGAAAGAACTAACATACAAATCTCTACCTTTAGTGCTTCAGTGGCCTTGCGAAGTTCCTTAATAACTGACGATAAAGCTTCTGGGTTAATTCCTTGTTCACAAAGCCGTACGCAAATAGAGAGAGTTTCCATATCTAAGCCAGTATTCAAAATTCTTGAAATCTCAAGCAGAACTGAAAAAAGACAGAAAATTTTAAAAACAGAATCTTACAACATTTAAAAATATGTACATAATACTTTTGTTGTTAATTCATATAATACTGCATAATACCAAAGAACTAGCATTGCATCCCTAGATTTGGAAATTGGCATGTAATACTGTCTTGCCCTTACTTAGCTCTAGAAACTTAAAAAATAAACTTACAACCTCCTTCCTCATAACTGCTATTTACATCTTGGTTTATATTCTACCTCTCATTTAATATCTATCTAAAATTTATGCATCATAATCAGGATTATTCTGAACATTTCCTTACTTTTTAGTATTCTTTTACAATGTAATTTCATTAGTCACATAACATTCCATTTAAGGAAACACCATACATCACTTAACCTCTCTACTACTTTAAGAGTTAGGTAGGTCTCATGTTTCCCCCATTAATAGTGTGATAAGCATCTGCACATACGAACTAAATTTTATTTTATTAGGATAAATTCCTAGAAGTGGAACTGCTCAGTCAGTAATATACATATTTAAGGCTTTAAAAGTATTTAGAAACTTTTACAATTTGACAAATCTTTGTCAAATCTAATAAAAATGAAACCTTATATTTTTTAACTTCATTTTTATAGTATTTCATTTTATTATTATAGTTTATAAAACATATAGTTATAACAATATTTATTATAGTTTATAAAACTATTTGTCTTTGACATGAGAAGCACTAGCACAGACAACCACAGGATGTAAATACATTCATTCACTCCATTAAACTTTTGTTTTATGGTGGCTGTTTCCCAGAATGTGTTTAGAAATTTTTAAGTGAATGGTCAACATGTTATCTGTTGTTTCCTGTATCATTTTCCCTTGGCATTACACTTAGAAAGTTATTCCTCACGCAAAGATTAAATAATTATTCACCAGTATTCTCTTCTAGCATTTGAAAGTTTATTTCTCCTCCCTCCATAAACATTTAAATATTTAACTCTCTGGATTTTGGGTCAAAGAACCTCTAACTTTTCCTTTCAAGAATAAGTCAGTTGCCCCAATACTATTTATTGAATGATCTATCCTTTTACCCCTGAGTTAATATGCTGCCTTTATCACACAGTAAATTCCGATATACCTACAGATTTGTTGCATGTCTATCTTGTGCCAGAGAAATAATTTTAACTACTAACTTTACATTGCATGTAGTAGGTTAAAGATACCTTTATTGCGCCGGCCCCGTGGCTTAGCGGTTAGGTGCGCGCGCTCCGCTGCTGGCGGCCCGGGTTCAGATCCCGGGCGCGCACCGACACACCGCTTCTCGGGCCATGCTGAGGCCGTGTCCCACATATAGCAACTAGAAGGTTGTGCAGCTATGACATACAACTATCTGCTGGGGCTTTGGGGGGAAAAATAAATAAATAAAATCTTTAAAAAAAAAAAAAAAAGATACCTTTATTACCTTTCATTATTATAAGCCCTTTTATTCTCTCAGTGAACTTAAAAATTTTGAGTCGGCTGGCCCAGTGGCGCAGCGGTTAAGCGCCCACGTCCCGCTTAGGTGGCCCGGGGTTCACAGGCTTGGATCCCGGGCACGCACCAACGCTCCGCTTATCAAGCCATGCTGTGGTGGTGTCCCATATAAAGTAGAGGAAGATGAGCACGGATGTTAGCCCAGGGCCAATCTTCCTCAGCAAGAGGAGGATTGGCATCGGATGTTAGCTCAGGGCTGATCTTCCTCACACACACAAAAAAATTTTGATTGATTTCAAAAACAAATTCCATTTCAATTCTGATTTGAATTGCATGAAAACTATCTATTATTTTGGGACAAATGGGCAAGCTAACAATATGAAGTGTTCTATTAATTTAAGTCTAAGTCTGTCTGAAAACTTTCATAGTATTTATGATGATCATGAGATGCACTCTTCCTACTTTTCCATATTAGACATTCATTTTCATCTCTAGAAGTTCAATTTGAGTCTTTTTAAAAATATGTCTTCCATGCCTTTAATTAACTTTTTGAACACATGGAGTACAGTTTTAATATCCTTGTCTGCTAATCCTAACATCTGTGTCAGTTTTGGGTCCGTTTCAACTGACTGAATTTTTCTCATCATGGGTCGTATTTTCCTGCTTTGCATACCTAATAATTTTTGACTGAATTCCAGACATTGTGAATTCTGTCTTGTTGGGTACTAGATATTTTTGTATTTCTATACATATTCTTGAGTTTTGCAATGAGATGCAGTTTATCTGGGAAGAGTTTGATCCTTTTGGGTCTTTTAAGATTTATTAGTAAGGACCAGAGCCCTGTTTAGTGTAGGGCTAATTACTCCACATCACTGAGGTAAGACCCCCTGAGTCCTCTACCCAATGTCTCGTGAAGTGTGAAGTTTTCCATTCTGGCTGGTAGATACAGGCACTATCCTCAGTCCTGTGTGAGCATTATGATTCCCTCTAATCCTTTCAGATGGTTCTTTCCCCAGCTTTGTGGGTACTTTCCTCACACACATGTGCTAATCAATGCTCTGCTGAATAGCTGAGGGAGACCTTTCTGCAGATCTCTAGAATTCTGGGTGCAGCTCTTTCTTCTCAGGTACTCTGTCTTTAAAACTCTACCTTCCTTGGTCTCCCTAGACTCTTAAGTTCCTTCTGCTCAAATCAGGGTGTCCACTGCATTCTGCCTGGGTTCCCCTCTCCCCCCACTGCATCGTGGCCTGGAAACCCTCTGAAGGCAGTAAGCTGGGGCAACTATCCAGCTCACTTCGTTCATTTCCTGTCTCTCAGGGATCACTGGGCTTCGCTGTCCTTCGATGTCCAGTGTCTTGAAAACCACTGTCCTGCATGTTGTGCCTGGGTTTTGTTGGTTGTTTCAGGTAGGAGGGTAAATCCAGTCCCTCTTATTCCATCTTGGCTGAAAGCTGACAGCACTTCTCATTTTCATTTCTTCAGTTTTGATATGCCAACATACTAATACTTTGCTCTTTAGTTATATTCAGGGTGTTATTCATGTTACCTGTTGAATTTAAGATTTCTAATTTCCCCCATAATTGTTTGTTCATTTCACAGGTAAGTGCTTATTTTTAACCACTTCTTATTTTGTGACTGTTCTTGTTGCCTTTACCTACTTGAGACTACATTCTTATCTTAACCTATTTTTGAGATTTCTGTTTTCTGTTTCTTCAAGCATAAGCAAGTGGCAAAAGAGAGTGGTTAAAAGTGTGCTCTCTGGAGCCAGACTACCTGGGTTCAAATTTCACTTTCATCACTTATTTGGCAAGACAACCTCTCTGTGCCTTCACTTCATCATTCTGTAAAATGGGGATAACAGTACTTACTTTATCGGTTATGGTGAGGATTAAAGGACACACTTAGAATGATGTTTGGCATATGGCAGTGCTCAATAAAAGCGTTAGCTATTACGACTACTTTCTTTTTTTCATTTTTCATGTTAGTTGTTTATGTTTTTTATCTGCCTTAGGTGCTTAGTGATTTTTGGCTGAAAGCTCATTTTCCACCAGGGGACTTTTCTTGGATATCCTGGATTGGTGATGCGTTCTTGGACAGGTAGTCTCACACTGGTCTCTCGATCAGGCCTTGTAGAAGCATCCTGGCTCCAGACCCACAGGACACACGGATGGTGCTTCTCAATCCCTGGCCGTGGCAGACGGCACTCTCCTGGCCCCCAGCTGCACTAACACAGGGCAGCGTGCTTCATCAGCTTCCACTCCCAGTCCCCTGCTGTGGTTCCCATCTGCTCCTTTCTCTGGGGGAAACTTCTCTCTTTCTAATCAATGGAGACTTCCCTTTCTTGTTTTTGAACATGGTTAAGCTGATAACTGTATTTTAATATTATTTCCTGTCATTTTTATATGCTTGGAGCAGAAAGTTTCAGCAAGCACTTCATCATCAATTTTGATAGTGAATCATCAATTTCTTTAATTTATAGTTTTGATTGTTTTCATAAATGGATTTCTGCCTTGCTCTTGCATATTCTAAGTGGTTAGCGCTGATACTCTAGGATATTACTTATTTTTATTTTGTAGCCAGCCACCTTAACATACTCTACTGAAGCCTCTAACAGTTTTTCAGTTGATTCTCTCGCGTTTTCTAGTCAGATAACCATATCACCTACAAATAACAGTTCCGCGTCCTTTTTCATAGTCTCTTTCTCTTCTTACCCTGCACTATTTGCTAAACCTTTGATATCAATGTTTAAAAAAAGAGCAGTAAAAGCAGGTATTCCCAATTTTATTTAGAATGTATTTAAAATTAACGTTAAGGATGATGTTGGTTTCATATAACCATCCTTTAGCATGTTAAAAATTTACTGTTTTCTTTTGCTAAGACTTTAAAACGAGGAAAAAAATGTGGAGTCTTTTCAATACCTTTTCATCAACCACTGAAATGACCAGGTAGCTTTTCTCCTTTGACCTAGTGAGGTAATGTATTATACTGACAGGCCACATTCACAGCTGAAGAACACCGAGCTTGGGAAATTCGTAGCAGTTAGCAAAGCTTCTCTTTATCTGGAGGTAGATGTTACCTCATCCCTCACTGTTGCTCACTATACACACAACCCTGAGAAACAGGAGGAGGAAAGAGCAGTCAGGACCTTGCATTCCTGGCATATGCAACAAGAATGTGCAGGAATGCTCAGGGCTCATGGAAGACTGCATCTCCCAATAGTGAATGCGTGATGTCTGAGGCTAAGTTACAAAAGGCAATATAACTTCCTCTGGCTCTCTCTTGAGACACTCTCCCATGGAACCCAGCTTCCAAGTGTGAGGAAGCCCACAGGTTCCCAACAACAGCCCCTGTTGAGGGGCCAGCTAACAGCCAGCATCAACTAACAGACAGTTAAGTGAGGAAGCTTTGAGATGATTCCAGACTCAGCACTATCTAACTGCAATGCACGAGACACCCTTCGTGAGAAATACCTAGATGAGCCTGAACAACACCCAGAACTACAAGACAGAAGTACTTTTTGTTGTTTTATGTCACTAAGTTTGGGGTCATTTGTTATGCAGCAACAGATAACTAGCACACATATTCTGACCCTATGCCAACTCTCCAACAACATCATCATCATGACCATCATCATTAACTGTTTCTGACAAATTCTCCTCTCTCTCCCATTTTCTCTTCATGGTAGAACCCTATGTATAAATGACAACTTTGTTCATGCTTTTCTCCTCTGCCTTTTCTCTTCCCTCCATATAACTCCATGCTGTCTTTTAGGTCCATCTCAGTACTACTGTTACTTCTTGTAAGCTTTCTTTTAAAATTCACACTGATCTTTACTTCCTAACTTTACAAACTGTCTGTAGTCAATAAGTATTTCTGTAGTGTCTACTGTTTAACTGGTACCTGTATGTATTTTGTGCCTACTACACTACTGCTGGAAACGTAGTTGTGAACAAGATAGATATGGTCCCAGTTCTCGCGGACACTGCAGTCTAGAAAAAGAGACAGATATTAAAATAACTGATTCCAGTTATGATAAGTAAAATAAAGGAAAAGAGCAGCATACTTTCAAAACATATCACAAAGGCATCTTACCTAGTTGTACAGGACACAGTGCTTAGGAAAGACTTGTCTGAAGAAGTGACAATTAAGCTTAGTTGTCAAGGGTGAATAGGAATCAACCCAACTAATGCAGAGGCAGGAGGAAGGGCAAAGACTAGGAGCCAAGAAAATAGCTTGTGCAAAAGTTCGCATGCTGGGGAGAAATTGGTAAATTCACAGCTGAAGGCAATGTAATTAAAGGGGATGAAGAGGTGTAAAATATCAGATGAGGCAGACATGAAAATCCACCCAGGCCCTATTGAAGATTTTAGAACTCTGGGAAGCTACTAGAAGATACAAAACGGGAGCGTGACAAAATCAGATTTTCAATTTTAAAAGACTTTGGCCGCATAATACAGAATGGATCTTGGAAAGTGGTAGAACACATGTGGAGAGGGAGTTCAGCTAAATTATTGCGATTCTGGTGAAAGACTGGTGGGCACTGTGGACAGGAGGGACAAGTGGTCAAATCTGAGATGGATGAAGAACTGAAAAGTTCTTAGTGAAGAAAAGAAGACAGGAGAGGTGAGAGAAAGCCAGACTGACTCCCAGGTTTCTTCCTCACATGAGTAACTAGACCAGTGGTGGTAGCATGGATTATACGTTTGTTTCACTGACACTGCCTTGTACACTGTGGACTCTCTTAACTCCTTTTTCTAGCTTACTACCTGACATACAAAGTAGTATTACACTGGAAGAGGTACATTTTTATAATTGTCAAAAACATAATCACTAGTAGTAAAAAAGGGATAAGGAAAATTCTAGAATATAAGAAAATAAGAATTAAAGTATGAAGCTATCAATAAAGAGTATCTAAAATTTCAAAATGTTGAAAAGCAAAAAGAGGCGATAGAACACACTGGAGGAAAGAGAGAAGTAGTTGAAAGAGCCTGACATTTTAAAGAGGGAGTGTGGAAAGAGAATGTTGAGGATCTAAGAGTGACAGTAGAGAATCTTATGCAACAGATTAGGGCCAGGATCAATCAGGTTCTTTTCAGAGTGATCTGTGCGCACAAATAACAGAAGTCCACTGCTTCCTCCCCTGTCTGAAGTATCTTTATCAAAATCCTTTCAATTCACAATAAAATTACAAATATTTGTAGCTGAGTTCTACAATCCTTGCAAATCACTGACACCCATTAAAAGATTAAATCACTGTTAGCTGACTCTAATACTGACAGGAGAGAGGTGGTAAGAGGATGAGGAGAAATAGGCTAGATCTTGAAGGAGGGGAGTCAGACTCAACAAGTTTTGAACACTTCAGTTAGGCTCTCATGGATAGTGAAACCCCTCATTAACAGAATTTCAAAAATAATTGTGTTTGAGTAGGTCAGCCCAGCCCCTTGGGCAAGCTAAAGTTTTATTTCTGGGAATGAGGGTGGAGGAAGGTGGGATTATAAAAGACTGCATTTAGGCCTTTTTCAGTTGAGTGTATGGTCAATTACTTACAGTGCAAGTGTCACTGTTTCCCTTTGTGCCTGAATCATTATTGACAGTATGAAAAATAGTCATTAACTTAGCAATAATTTCACTTCACATTTTAGGTGACTGTCTTGGACCCGATTATGGCATGATAGCAGGGATTTTCTGTAAGTTTACAGTTCTAATGGACACAACAGTATCTGGCAGCCACATTTAACAAGGCTGAGGGCCGGCCCCATGGCTTAGCGGTTAAGTGCGCGTGCTCCACTACTGGCGGCCCGGGGTTCAGATCCCGGGCGTGCACCAACGCACCACTTCTCCAGCCATGCTGAGGCCGCGTCCACATACTAGAAGAATGTGCAACTATGACATACAACTACCTACTGGGGCTTTGGGGGAAAAAAAAAAGGAGGAGGATTGGCAATAGATGTTAGCTCAGAGCTGGTCTTCCTCAGCAAAAAAAAGAAAGAAAAAAGAGGAGGATTAGCATGGATGTTAGCTCAGGGATGATCTTCCTCACAAAAAAAAAAAAAAAAAACCAACAACAACAAAGGCTGATCCGCTGCCTACCTGGGGCCTTTCTTTTTACCTTCTGGTGTGTGGCCAAACTGCATGCAGAGGAACAGTGTTCTCTAATCCACACATTCTCTCCTCCAATTTTTGCTTTTTTAAAAAAATCTGGCATTTCTTCACTTTTTCATGTTCTTACACTCTCTAAAATCTTTATTTTACACACAGGTCTCTCAGTAAAAATCTTGATGATGGAACCAATACAAACTATCAGTTCTCATTTCTACATCAGTAGTTCCACCCGAGATAAAACGCTGAGTTTTCTATTCAAATAGGATCCTGTGGCCGTAGACAATAATGCTGTATACATATAGCTTTTCTGTACATAAATCCACTTACAGGGCTGGCCTGTGGCTGAGCGGTTAAGTGCGCACGCTCTGCTACTGGCAGCCCCAGGATAGGGCGCACACCAACGCACCGCTTCTCTGGCCATGCTGAGGCCATGTCCCACATACAGCAACTAGAAGGATGTGCAGCTATGACATACAACTATCTACTGGGGCTTTGGGGGAAAAAAATAAAAGAAAAATCCACTTACAAAACAAAATTAATAAGCTTTGATACATCAAGAAGGATGGGAAATAGGCTGAGTATGATGTTAAGAACAAAATTCTATTTTTCAGAAAAACTGCAAGGCAGATACTTGGTAAGTAAAAAATTAGATGCAAAGGCTCTAATAATATAAGTAATTCTGTGAAAAGGAAAGCAGCAGCCAGTGCAGAAAAAGCCAGAAGCCTTATCAGAAATCTCTATAAGGAAGGGTTATATTAGGCAGTGGAGCCTACAGTGAAGGAGACAGAGGTAGGATATGTAGGCCAATACTGCTTAGCGAGAATTCCATGGGGTTATGTTTTAACAGAGATAGAGGGTGATATGGGTATCCCCTGGAAAATGCAAAAAGCAATGTCTAACATCCATCAAACACATATATACGTAGATGCGAATAAAACAGAGACAAAGGAGTCTGTAAGCGGGATGCCATTTTAACACAAAAATAATACAGTAACTATCTTTTAATGATCACCTTCAATATGCCTTTACCTAGTTATCTTATTTAAACACTCACGATAACCCTAGGAGGCAGTAACGTCATTTTACACACACACACACGCAGCAGACTTAAAGATGTTTAAGCAGTTTGTCCAAGTTCACCACTAGGGGTACAAAGTGGCAGAGCCCGCATTAGAGCTTAGAGAGAGGGTAACTCCAAGACGCTCAGTCTTCTACCACCTGTGTGTCGGCTTTAAGCCGCACGCCTCGGGGCGCGAAGACAGAGAAATACACTACCGGCCCCGGACACCGGCGTCACCCGCTCCATGACGAAAGTGGGGCGATTCTGATGAAGGGGCGACTCGTTCATTCACCGAATGTTTAAAAAGCGCCTACTAAAATGCAAGGGACAAAGGATGTAGCGGTGACCGAAGAGACACGGCCACGGTGCGCACAGGCTGACAGTCTGGAGGGCTTCCACGGCGCGCCCCGCTCGCGACTAAAAGCAAGGGACTCACTGGGCGCGCCGCGCAGGATCCGGCGCGGCAGGAGACGGGTGGCGTTGGCGGAGCGCGCGGGGCTGGGCAGC